GTCTGTTGCCTGGTTGAGGTCTTTGTGTGGCTTAAATGCTTTAAGTGTTTTTTTTCTGAGTGCTATGCAGGTTAAAGAATAATTAAAAATGGCAAAATTATTTTTTCTAAAATATTCTATTTGCATAGAATATTTTCATTATGGGCAATTATATTTCTTTATAGCTTTTCTAGAACCGTTCAAGAGGCACTGGTTCAGTACAGGGCACCATAAAAGTAAAGAGAAGGAACTTATTCTATATCCATCAATCATGTGGCTGCAGCTCAGAGAACATGCTGTGAACTTCAGCTCATCAATCCATCAACGTCACACAGAAAATCCAGGGGATTGCTTTTACCTCCACTTCCCTCCTCCAGTTTCCCTTATGTTCACACCACTAACTACGTATGTGTCAGCTCATGAGGCATCCACAAAACTCTACAGCTCTGACTCCACCAACACTTCCTGCCGAGGTGGAGGAGGAGGTGGAGGAAGATGAGGACCGGGCTCAGCCGGTTGATTGTCAGTGCTATAATGTACCTTTCCCTCCTCCTCCCCTCCACCCACAGTCCAGGCTTTTACAATTTCCCCACATTAACAAGGTGCGTTGCTTTTCCGCCTCCCTTCTGATCTGTCACACTGTTTCTAATGTGCATCACAGCATCGCCTTAAATGAGTTTCCTATGGAGTGACAGCAGACGCTCAACTCTGACGTGGTGCTCGCATCCTGCTCCATTAACTTGTGGCAGTTACATATGCTGCAGATCAGCTGTCAGTTTGATGGAACATCTTCAGTAAGAAGCGTTTCACATCGGCCGGGTTTTTTTTGTAAGTGCATTTTTATCTGGTGTTGAGAGCAGCGTCAGGCTGTAATAATTACAGCAGACCTTCACTTTATGTTCCTTTTAAGACAAGGGCCATTAATATATAGAGTCGAGCGGTGCATGAGAGCACATGGACCAATGATATTATTGATTAGGTAAATGAAACATACTTTAAATGCATTTTTATCACAACCACTTTATGTCCCTGTTTTTTTTAATTTCCTGAAGGTAACTCTGGAGGGATTAATAAAGTTCTTCTTCTTTCTAACAGAACCTGTCGTAATGAGCTCAATAATACTGCCAGACGTCCAGGCACGGGTTTTGCATACTAATACTGTTATATTCAGCCGATGATACGACCGCTACAGTCACACAAGCACAGTAACACAGTCTCATAAAAATATGAAAAACCAAGTTAGACTCTTCCCATTTTGTGAGCCAGGAGTGCATGAACAGGAATGTGTCATTTTATAAAATCCTCCTTAAAAAAATCTCCAACAGCTCCTGTGTATCACTGCAGTGCTGTATACAAAAAAAATAAACTCACATTTGTGCCGCCGAGATCAAAAGAGGAGCAGGGAGATCCTATTTTTTTTCTCTCCCAGTCTGTGTCCAACAGGAGGTGACAGCGTGCTGTAGCTGCAGGTAGGGCTTTAAGAGAGTTAGTGAGAAAAGTAAATCACATTAGTGACAGCACACACATCAGTCAGGTCGACAACACTACGAGAGGATGTGGATGATGTTGATGAGTCTTCATGCAGCTGCACAACATTCACTGCCATTATTTTTATATTGGCTGAGGTGATTTTTAATTAGGATGCTAACATTATTCTCTGCAGGGCAAAACAAAAACTAAACTTTTATTATTCCAGAAACACAGCGGTCAACTTCTCAGCTTTGCAAAACATCAGGGTCATTTTATTTCGACATATAACGATGTCTCGTTAGTGAGAAATACCTAAGTGAAATTAAGGGAAATTACACTATAAGATAAGGTTGTAGAGCGGGTCTGAACAAACACAAATAACTATAAAACTACTGTCCAGTTCCATGAAAAGCAATAGTCTGAGGGCAGGAAGGTCATGCAAATTCAGCAGCAGTTTCAACCACCAATGTAAAAAGATTTATTTTCTCTTTAAGGGGTGCAAAATCAAAATGTATTGCTTTCGTGTTGACTGTCTTTTTAAAAAAGCACACTGAATTCACACTGCAAAAAAAATGCTGAAATCAGTTTTTTCATTTTGCATGTTATTACTATTATTATAGTGCATTTTGAAAAGTGATCTTACCGTATAAACATCTTTACATTTTCTCAATCTCCAAAAAGTTTTCTGTTAATGTTCACCCCTGTACGTTTGACTTATTTCTATTAATTTTAAAAAATAAGTTGATCTCAGAGGATCAATCTCAGAGGATGAAAACAGACTGAAGCAGTTAATTGGACCAGGACCCACTGAAGACAACAACAATAAACCAACTCCTCCTTCAGTGGTTTATAGTCAAAGTAACAATGGTTCATTTTACACTCCAGCTCCAGGTGGACGCTCACAAAAAAAGTATTAATTATAAACGTCAACGTTCTAGAACTAATGAATTGAGAAAAGCTGCTTTTGATGGGATTAAATCACAAACGACAACAGCACATTTGGTCCCAGGAGTAAAATTACAGCAAGAAAGAGAGAAATTTCAGGCTGTGAGAAAATAGGGCATTTTTTCTCTTTTTGTAGGAATGATGGTGTTCTTGAATAATGTTCAGTGTGGTTTGAAGCAATAGTTGTGAATGTGTCGGCGTGAGGGTGGTCCATAACTGTTTTATCTTTCAACATAAATTTCAACAAAGCACTAAACTCACTTATTTAGGAGACTGTAGCTAAAACAAAAACATACTAAAGAAAAACTGGAAAAATTAAAAAAGTCAAATTCCTGTCTTTGTCAAATGCACTAATGCGCCACCAAATATTCAACTTTCAGGGTTTGGTTCTGACAGCAGCTCAGTTCAATTTGCCTTATTATACTGAATAAATCCTCTCTGTGTCAAGAACCACGTCTGCCTTTTACGACCTAATTAAATCCTGGCTACATAAAGTCCGGACCTGGAAATGTGCAATAATGTCAGAAGTTTATAAAAAAAAAGAAAAAACATCAACGTCAGGAAAGAAGTGTGAATATAAGTGTAAGTTGTTTGTTTTGTTTGTTTTGGTACAGGACAGAGTGGAACATCATTTAAATTCCTATGTGACTGATGAATAACATTCTAAGGAGAAACTTCTAGTTAAATCAAAGATAGTTTTAACCAAAGCTCTGAATATTGAAATATCAGATTAAAAGTCTGTCCTGTTACTGAAAATTCTGGGTCTGGCTCTAAATTAAAAAAAAAATCATCCCTGATCCATTCCCCGAGGCTGACATTAATTAATAAATATAGTGTCCAAGAGTCTTTTTACGATAGAAAGATCAAGCCATAATATACAATATAAATTACAAACCCAACTATACAGATTGTTTCTAACACTGAACTAAAACATGTGCAAGAGACAGTCAAATATTTTTTTTATGGTGGACCATGTGTTAAATATGTCCAAAAATACTCAGCTAATGAAACAGTACTTCAGGGATGTGATGATACCACAGTCTGTCATTTTTCTATAAACCTCGCCGGGGCTGCTCGCAGCTTTAATTAGATCTTGAATGACTAATCCTGTAAAATGCACAGTGGGAGAAGACTATGGAACTATACCGTCCAGAACAGTCAGCAACATGTGAGCAGTCAGTGCTGGCAGCTCCGACGCAGTGTAAAAAGGGTCGTCAACTTCCCACACAGCCAAGTTTGTTTGGAGCAGACAGATGTAGTTGATAAGAGAAAGGGAAACATCTCCTGCCCACGTAGTCTCTGAATACATTTTATTCTGCACCACGAGGCAATAGAGCCAAGGTGGCATAATACAACTGTGAAAATTGTTATTTTTTCCCATCCATCTCCTGCCACCATTCATCCACACTCCTGCCAGTGAAATTCAGAGACAGCTGGGAAATATTCTAGTCATCACCCACAGAACCATGTCCCTGCCAAAACACTGCACTAAGGCTGAGCCATCTGAGCCCACTGGAAACAAAGAAGACAAACAGGGCCACTCCAAACACAGGGGTGGGAGAGCTAAATGGAATATAAATACAAGGCACAAACACAATATGAACAAGAATGGCTCAAAAAAAAAGGTCACGGTTTTAAGAAGCTCAAGAGTCAACAATGCTCCCGATGGCACCAATGAGAATCAAGAGAATCATGTGTACAGAATTAAATTGTGATGTTGGGAAACATCCAGCTCTGCATTTGTGGCCAACTAAACCCTCATTTACAACCACGTTGAGCAAAATGTAATGGAATTAAGTTCGAAACAGTCCAACATGTTCCAGGATTAAGGTGGAAAATCAGGCTCAGAGTCCAAACTGCTGGTCCATTCATCCCTTAAAATGTTGTAGTGACAACAGAAATTGTGCTGTAATATTGCAGTGACTGCTAAACTTTTTTTTCCAGTCCCCATTTTTCTTATTTTCCCTCCAACCTTCTTTCTAGAGGAGTTGTAAAATTAAAGTATAGAGTTTTGAGTTCCATCCAAGACTTTTTTCCCTATATACTGGTAAAAGTTCTACAAAAATAATATTTTCCTATTTTCCCTCCAAATTTTGATTTTACTTTTGAACTTTCTAGGGGGAAAAAAACATTACTTTTGAACGCTAATCCTTTGTAGTGGAAAAAGACATGAAGAGTAAATGCCCTTTTACTCACATCTCTGAGGAAAATATAGAACATATACATTTTCTTGCTCTAAATTAATTTTTTTTTTAAAAATCACCCATCATTCTTTCCTTTCAATACGGGCCAGGACTTTATTTAAAACTCCATAATTCCAAGAAAACTGCTACTCCCTTCAAACAAAAAAAACACTATAACATTACATTACAAGTCGGATCAATTTCCCAACAGTGGGATAAATAAAAATATTATTGAAATAATTTGCCTGGCTGCGTCCCCTTGCTATAGCTCAGCCCACAATTTGTGAAGCACAGCTGTAGCACAGTGGGTATTAAATTTGATTCCAAGTCATAAAATTTTAAAATTTTGTATTTGGATAACTGAGGCAGCAGTCCGATAAAACAACATTTTGTAATTAGTGTAATAAAGTCATCCTTATATAGTTTTTTTTTTTTTCTAAATGGTAAAAATGCATCTGGTAAGATAAAGTTTCTCTGATGTCTTGTAAACAGACTGAAATCCCTGCATGAGATTTTTTGAAAACTCAACTTTAATATTTTACATATATCACATTAATATCAGCAAAGCCAACTATACACCAACCTTAACTCTAATTGTAAAAGCTGGATTTCTTTCATTTAAAAGAAAAGAAGAAAAAAAACCTCATGCATCTAGAAAGTAGGAGTCGAGATCCTCTGGAATTCCTTCCGTATCCTGTGATGCGTTTGCTGTCACGTCTTTTGCTGTGGCGGATTTTTCCTTTGACCTCTGTGGCGTCCCCACCTCTCGCTTCATGTCCTTGCCTCCTCCCAAAACTTTCTGGCTTTCCACAAAGTACTGGTTTGGATGGTTGAGTGAAAAATTGCTATCTTCAACCTGCGCAGAAGAGACGGGAGACAAAAGGTTAATCCTGTGGAAATGAATCTGACAGTGAATGTCATCTCTGCTGCTCTGGATAGGATCTTCACATAAAACAGCCTAATTGAGACATGTTAGTTAATTTACTAAGAAATTACCAATCTATTAACAATAATGAAGACTTTCGCTGTGCCGTCAGCTAAATAAATCTCCATCAAAATATTCAATTAGGGCGTAGTTTAAAGATGAAAAGCCCCCTCAGAAAGTTAAATGTCACAATCATCCATTATGAGGAAAAAAAATAGTGAATCAATTAATGGATGAGGTTGCAGCTCCTTTAAATCCTCCTTCTGTGACCTTTGCTTTTCGACCAGTTGTGTAAAAATGATTAATTTCTAAAGTGCGAGAACATAATAAAGACATTTGAAGACAGTAACTATCAGTGTCTCGCAGCTGTTGAACTGAACTGAGGGAAAAAGGGAAAAACTTCACAAGTTAAAATAAAGCAATAAATGCAGAAAAACAATTGACAATTATGAAGTATCCTGCAGGGCCCTGAAAGCATCACTCAGTGAAAACGACTCATTCAATTTGATACATTGCTTTCACTGGTGAGCAACTTTTAATGCATTCAATGAAACATCAATTTTCAAGGGCTTCTTCAGGACTCTGCAGGAAAAAAATCATTCAGTTCATTTATTCATAGAAGAAAAATAAGACATTTGGTCGTTTCACTCAACATTGTACAGCTTCTCTGCTTGTTAAACAAACCAAGCAAAAGATTAAAATATGCAATAAAAAATAAAACAAACACTAGGATTGTTGGGACGGAGGCGAGTTTACTCCTGGGTTGCATCCCAGTTTTTATCATATGGTTTTATTTAAACATTTGTAAACTACTAATATTCACTGTTGAAGCTTTGTAATTAACATGATTACAGTATTTTAAAAAAATGACATGAGCAGATCTTTACTTTTTGATCACCATTGTTTTTCAGTATTTTTTCAATATCTGGACTGCAGGCAGGCCTGTCTCAAACACACATCCACCAAATGTTTTATTAAAAATAAGTAATTATAATTTTATTTTTATTGCCTTGTTGTTGGAAATTATATTATAAATCATCAATCTTAGATGTCCATTGTTCTAGCTGACAAAAAAAAAATAAATCAAAAAAGCATCTCTGATTGGCTGTTCATTTGATCCTCCAGTTCAACACTGATTGGACTTGGTCCCTGCCAGATTGTTTTGTCTATTTTTTTATTGTATTATTTTACCATTAGTTGACATCATTCCATATCATCATCATGCTCTAGCACCACACAACTTCCTATTCGGTTTTAAAATGAAATTTACACTGGTTGATATTCATGGCCGTGGCCAGTTGACCTGCTCGTTCTATTTCAGATCAAGTTAAACTAAAGAAACATTTTATTTGTTTTCCTCCATCACATCTATGATTTCATCTCGTAAATTATCCTATTTTAGGGAGTTGGAATACCTACGGGGGGCTCGCTCACTTCAACACAAACAAATTGTCCTGTGAAGCAGAATAATTCATTTTACACATGGCTGCACGACACAACGTGGATATTTCTTCATCAGCTGTTTATACAAACTGAATTAACGTGAGAGAATGAACTACAAACAAACACGACACCTGCATTTTTCAATAAAGCCAATAACCTGACACTGAACAAGGGCGACCAGAATTGGCTCGGTGTAATCCCTCAGAGCTGGACTTTAATGACTGTGTTTACATACAAGGTGATTTAAAAGTAGAACGTGTACTACTCTTTAGTTTTTGAAAAAAAGAACAAAATGAATCTGTTAGAAAATATGGCGATAGTAATGCATCATCACAGCTTAACATGAGTTATTAAGGTTGATATGGTTTAGAGAGCTAATTTACTCTTCCCAGGAAAGAAACAAACAAAAAAAACTACCACTGTGATAGCAGTTTCAATTATATGATTATGGAAAAATAATGGCTTGATATGTTCTAAAAAAAATTTTTTTCTTGGGTGAAATTTTAAGAAAAAGAAAAACGTGACAAATTGTGTCTGTGATTCATCTAAAGGATGTTGCTGTTTGTTTTGCCAACTATATATTTCTGGTATTTTATAACAAAGGCAGTAAATGTGACAATGGCATTTTTCATTTGAAAACACAGGCAACGTTGAGAGTTTGAAGACACAGAGTTTGCTTCAGGCTGTTCTGATATTGGCTGTAACATTTCAAACATATTTAAATATGTAAAGGGAACATAAATTAGGCCATAGGATTGGTGTTTTATTTTGTTAAATATTATAGAAAATACTTCATCTCTGTCTTCATAACTGCGTTTTTTTTTTTACTCGGTACTGCCACCGTAGAACTTTGACCCCAACTGCAATAGACTCAACTTCTTCATTAAACCCCAAAAAAGTGGCTTTGACACCCAGGTAATGACAGGAGTTGTGACAGACCCAGGTCTCCCTCTCCCCTGCTCTTTCATGCATGAGGCTCACAACCTTAAATGTGGACCAGAACAGAAGTTGACCAAATTAATTACAAAGTTGTTCTTACATTGTGGGTCAGCTCAAAGTACTTTTGGCACGCCAGCTGGTAGTGCATTCCTTTGACCAGCTCCAGGATCTGCAGCACAGGGAGGAGAAGAAAAGATGATGAGATGAGATGAGAAAAAAGATGAGTCCAAAGAGAACAGGTTGACTGTGTTCTTTCATATACTTCCCAGAAACATTTGTAGTAAATCACAAAGACAGCAGAGAACGTACCCTTCAATAAATCTGCATATGTAATATGAGCACATCTCAGACTTATTTGGAGAAAATAAAATATTCAGGCCTGGAGTCAAATCTTTTTACAATAACCGACGGCGATCATTTCACCTTCAAGTCTTCTGCTACATATCAATTTTAGGATTTCATATTTCCCCCTTCCTGCTGTCCACAGGATCTGTAAATCTGCAGTGGAATGTGAAGGCTCACATATTCTTGACAATTTTGGTGTAAAAGTGACTTCATGCTCTGGGTGACTTGCTTGCAGAAAAATGAATTCAATGTTTTTTTGTTTTTTTTTTTTCTTTACAGGGAAAAAGACTTCTAAGCAAATCTCAGCTGCTTCATTACCCCCCCCCCCCCACCCCTCCCCCAAAAGAAACCTGCTGTCCAGCTTGAGACTGCCACCAGCAAGTTCAACCACTGTGACTGGTGGTAATAAAAGGCAAACATTTGCTGTGCTGTGACTTTTTTTTTCTTATTCTGCAGCAAGAGGGCAAATATCACAGCAGTGTGATGTTGTACTTCACTTTCTGTTCTAAAGCAAGTTCCATGGGAACTGGAGAAACAACTTATCAAACACTAGTCCAACTTTCACTGCGTTGACTTACCAATAAATGTACAGTATGAACTCTAACAGATTTGAACTTTCAAAGATAAAGGATAATAACATCTTTATTCATAATGTCAGGACTTGACAATTGACAATGTGTAGGGATGCAGTTTTGGACCTGGAACTTCTTTGACAATATTGGAGCATATTGTCAAATCCAAAATTCTGTATTGACTTTTCACGGCAATGCAAGTGAAAATGCTTGTATCTTTCTGTAAAGAAATTGGTATTAGGACAATCCTAGAAATAGGGTTTTAGGAAGACATGAACCACGCAGGCCATTCAAAAACCATGCAATACACCTGAACATCTCCCACCTGACTGATGCCACTGGGAGACACCTTGTAGACCTGGAGCTTCTGCTTCAACAGCTCTGGGTCACTGTGGCGAAACGGACATCCTGAAAACAACCATTGCAGGTGTGACTACAACATCTGAGATGCAGCAGTATATCATACTAATGAGAAGAAGTCAGACAGTGACAGTGTTGACAGAGGGTGTTAAGTAACCGGTGGTATAATCAACTCACCATGATGGTCGCCTTGGCCAGGGAGGTTTGTCAAAATCACCTTCATGCAGCTGTAGGGTGTGTAGTCTGTCCGCTTGCCTTCTTTGCCAAACATGTGGCGGATGCTGTAGGCATACGCTTTGTCAAACTGCAGCCACGGGGAGAAAGAAAAGAACAAGAGTCAAAAATGAGGGTGTAATAATGACAAGGGTGTGATAGAAAAAAAACAAACATGGTTATACGTTGTTACTTTGTACAGTACAGAAATACAGAGCTAATAGAAAACCTGTTTAGGTGTTGCCTGTAATCAGACAACTGAAATATGAGCGGTCATATAATTCTGATGTCTTCACCCTCTCTGTTTTTTCTGCTTTTTAATTGTTTTAGTAAAAACTATAAAATGCTGTAGCAGTGTCCAGAGCAACTTACCAGTGCACACTTTCTGTTAATACCTGTTAATAACCAGTTGAAATGCTGTTCAACTTCACACAGAGACACCGGGTTCACAGTGAAGTGATTACATCTAAAACGGTCTTTTTCCCCAGGTTTTCATGTATTTACTTGTCCATTTCCACCTTATTATTGACATTTATTAAGTCGTCCACATTTTTTCAAACTAAACTAAACACTTCCCAGCTAAATCCGAACTATCTGAGGAAAACACTGCAGCAGCTGCTGTGTCATCAGGAAAAATCATTATCATTTCCCAAAGTCAGCGACACAAATTACCTGTATCAATAGACATTAAGGGGTCAAAGGTTGCAAAGCTTGAATAAGCTCTTTCGATAACCTCGTTGTACTTTTCTACTGGACGGAGGGTCTCCCTACAACATCTTCACAGGGCACTTCTTATTGTATTTAGAGCCTCTTCGCAGCCACTAAAACAAATCACAGGGACCCTGCCTCTGAAGCTCAAACAGTAAAAACCACACAGTGCACTTCAAACAGTGGCAGAACACAATCGCCACAACTGCACCCATCATAACACATTAATGTTGTAATAAAACCCCTGAACTTGCCATTGTGACAAGCCACAAAGGCACTTTTAAACACCATAAAATGTTATCCAAGTGCAATAAATCACCTATTAATTATGCAGAGTTCATCCAATTTTAGAGGCAGTTGTCTGATTTAAGACTTCCTCAGTCTATTAAAATGAACTTCGCTGCTCTACTGATGTGTATTTAACATGTGGGTGTGTGTGCACAAGAGAGATACTTGTAACGAGGACATAAAAATATCTCGTATGAAACAAGAGGTGAAACAAAGACATATCACATAATAACATATGAAGCAGGTTTTTAAAATGTACTTGAGGTTTGCTTAGAAAAAAAACAATGTAGCTGACAAATCAAGGATGAGCAAACTATGGCCTGCGGGTCACGTAGGGCCCAGTGGACTATCTAATCGGCCAGGTAAATATTCTTTTTTTTTTTTTTAAATGACAGTAAAAACATTCATGTTAAGACACAAGGGAAAATAAAATATACAAATATATCCTTGTGAATAGAAGCTTTTCTGTTGATACTAGAAATTCTGTTAAGAGTAACAAGTATTATCCTGTCACAGATAAGAGTAAAGAGACAGATATTTTATAGTCACTGCTGAGAAAAAGGACACGAACAAAGGATTTTTGTCAGATTGCTTAAGGAGAGAGGACTGACCAAGATTTTTTATCTCATTTAAAGATTTTTTTTTTTTTAATCCTTGAGTGCTGTGGGCCGCATCCACAGGTACACAACCGACATAACTGTCTACACTTCACCAGTTGAGATGCTTAACAACACACTGAGGCATAAATCTACAATTTCTCCTTGTTTTCAAGCAATCAGAATTGTGCCAGATTAAATTTTCTTTCCCAATGGACTGAACTAAAAAAACAACATCCACTGATTTTTTTTTAACAACCAACAACAACATAATAACACCTATTCTGTTACTAACAATCAATCAGGACATTGTGGGGGTGGTATCTGAATTATTTTTTTTTTATCTCTTGAGCCCTAAAGAAAAAAAAAAGGTGAAAGGAAATTCTTTTTTGACACAATATACATCACAATGACAAATATCACACCCTATTATTAGTGAAAAACTTTCTGTCATGAAATACTGAAGAGCCCATAATAAATGTTTTTTTCCCGTTCACATTTTATTACCATAATTTCTTCTTTGTTTCTGTTATTTTCCTCAGGTGACGCCACTTTGAACCATCTGCTTCCATCTCACACATCCCTTTGCCTCCTTCTTAACTTAAAGCCTATTTTATTGATTTCCAGTCTGGAAGCTTGATCTCCATCATTCTCTGTCCAGTATCTTCCCCCGTCTCTCTTTAGTACATTTCAGCACCATCTCAGCCTTGCAACTTCAACTTTCCTTCAAAACTGCTCACCCTTGGCTTCTTCCTCTGTGGAAATTACAGTAAAGATTCGTAAAACAGAAGCAGGGAGGCATGAAAGCTCCTCTGGTCTCTGCTGGTGGGTCTACATTAGCAGAGTAGAATGCATACAAATATTTATGTGTCAAGTTGGCATGGCTTCTGAGTCTTGGTCTGTGGCTTCAATTTCAAAGCATGTAAATAACCAAAAGCAGAGTATAATATATTATACATATTAAAAAAACACTACCAAGCCTGCCTTCAAATCCATCTATGGAAAAAAAAATCCCTTGGCAAAGAAAACACATAATAGGAAAATGAGCCAGCAGCTACAGTGGACGGTGCTGAAGGTACCAGCCGTTACAACATTAAGGGTGTGCATTTGTTATAGCACATTAAAATTATCTACTACCAAGTGTCATCTGATAAATTAAGAAAACACCCAGAAGGAAAAACAAAACTTAAAAATTGTGTCAGTTACTGAAAATTAATTAACCCGGGGTTAACATCTGTGGAGCCGCCAGTTCTGTGCAGACCGAGCCGAAGGGCAGGACACTACACTATAATGTGGCACAAATGGACAGTCCTCCAAATAAATAGCTTAACTTGTGCAGGGAGAAAAATGGACAAATCAAAACGATTTCATCAATTTGCTCCAACTCTCACGTCTAATATTACACCAGCTCTTCCTCTGGGCCTCCCTTTAGGCATCACTGCCTCCCATCTTTTTTACTCTGTGCCAGTGGCATACTAATGAGGTGGCTTTGTGCAGCCTGCCACAAAGTGCAGCGCCTGACATAACACATACATCACTGGGAGAACTGTGATCTGGCTCGCACTGTTCTGCTGCTGCCTCTGCTGTGAAACATGAGTGGAACACTGTGCAGAGGCCAGTCAGCCTCTATGAACTGCTACACGGACACATACAGATGCTCTGTGCTGCAGAGTGCCAGGCCCTGTTAAAGCACCATGGACTAACTTTTCTAGGAACTTCTAGGAGTTTATTTGCTAACAAATGATGCTTGTACTGCCAGGATTATGCTCATCAGTTTTCTGGAATGTGACACCACATAGCTTCAGACATGACTCAAGTGAATAACTTTGATGGTTTGTCCTGAAATGTTTTCTCTAGCACAAGAACAACAAAACTTAATTTGTGGGCATGAAAAAGAAAGAGCAGCAAAGACCTAGGGTCCTTGAGTATATTAATGTGCAGGTGTATTAATGTTTGTATCATCGAATGGTTTCCAAAGTGGGGTGCGGGCCCTCCCAAGGGGGCATGGAGCCATCGCTGAAGCTGCCAAAAAAATTCTTTATTTTAAACTCAGATCATGTGAATAAGTTAACCCTTATGAGACTTATCACAGTCAATAGAATTTCCCTATTGACATTTAAGACAAATCAGCAACTCACCAGGTGAATATGAGTGTACACTCTCCCCTGTCTCTGAATTATTCCAATAAATAAAACATGAAGAGCACAGAGTTTGGACGGAATTATTTAACATGACTTGAAAATAAGAGAGTTACTCTGAGGAAACACATGCTCCACAATTTCCCACAGTGCACAGTGGAGGCTGTTCACAGGCGGTCCTGAATGCGGCGCGTGTCTGATCTTCAATCAGACTAAAAGGGCACACGTCACTGTGATGCTCATCGACCTCTAGTTGTCCAAATCAAATTCAAGTCACCATTATGCTAGCATGCAGTGGGATTTCTGGATAAGCATCCATTTACTGAAAAACAAACATTTGGCCTTATGTTCTGAGAGAAAATATTATGTTACACTGTCATCCCAGCGCAAAGGTCGACCACACTCCAGACTGTCTCTGGTTTAAAAAGGAGATACACAGACTTTCTCAGATGCTACAAAATTGCTATATGCAATGCTACACAAACACATTTTACAGGAACAGTTGGTTTAGCCAATGGCCAAGATTGGTTTCTTCTCAATCTCATACATTACTCATAAATAAAATAAAAATTGTCTCCATCCACCATGAAAATGTGTACTTTTTTTGTAGCACACATTAACATTCATCTCTCCTCAGCGCAAAAGGGGTGCAGACCCCAAAGGGCCATGGGTACCACCAACTCAGAATAGTTCTTTTCATCTTATGACAAAAGCATCTCTCTATATCGATGAAGTGTTTACAGAGTAAACTTCACCCTCAACCGAAAACTATTCACAAGGTTTGAGTCTTCACTAAACGGCTTTGGTTAATGCCAGGAAAAGTACAGCAGAGAGGACAGTCCCTTTTTTTTAAACATTTCCCTTTAGCATTGCTCCACCACCTCCTGATACCCTGCTGCCGGCATCCATTAGCCTCTGCCACGGAGTCCACCCAGAGAACAGTAGGTTCGATGGGGAGCATTTGCTTTCAAAAGCCTTAGGCTAGCACCAGGACAGGCTTTAGGGTGTGTGTTTTAATGTCCTCCAAGACCCTGAGCTGCCTCTCTCTGTTAACTAGCAGCTCCCAGACTGCAACAAAGTGGTGCAGTGCATCTGTTGGTTTTGGCTTTAAGTGGGAGCACGCTTGGCAGGTGGTTTCTACACATGACCTACAAATGTGGTCATTCTACCAGCAGGAGCAACATCTCATTGATTTGTCATTTGAGTTAAGATTGTAAACTGAAAAGTCTCTCCTTCAGCAGACATGTGGGTGTGTTGGTCCACGGAGAAGATCTGGACAGTTTGCCAGTCGATCACTGAGCCACATAAAGAGACAACCATTCACACCCATATTTACACCTGTGGTCAACTCAGTTTAAAGAATTAATCTAGTCTACAATTGGTACGCTTTGGACTGTAGGAGGAAACCACACTCTCTCAAAAGTACACCTAGTTGACTCTAGGTTCAACAAAAAAGTATAATCCAGAGAGGTAGCCACACAACATTTAACAAACATTTTCTATCTGCAATGAAAAATAAATTATATTGATCAAGCTGCAGCCGACACAATGCGCCTGTTGGTCCTGACCTGTCTGAAGACACGAGACTGCATACTGTTGTTGATTAGACCTCAATGGGGAACTTTTCATGGTGAAAAGGATGAATATTAGACTTTTTTTTCATATTTCTGAATACAGCAAGAAAAACACTGAAATAAAAATAAACCCAGAGATACATTCTTTCCTCAAGGGTTTTTATAGGCGGCTGAACTCAGTGACATCTTTAGCTACAATAATTAATCCTGCTGTGAACAGGTATTTAGTTTGTTTGTTTTTTCTCAGAAACCAGTAATTGTCCAAACACAAGTATAAACACATATTCATATATGTATACACACAATATGTGTCTCATATTGTATAGATACAAATTTGGACTCAAATTTAAAAACACTGTGTCAACATCTTTATAGAAAACATAAATACATTTAAACTAAATAATAATTAAATTACAATTGTTTCTCTTACCTTGTCTGCATCCACTTTGCCTCTGATGAACTCTAACCTCCAGAACTGTAGCGCCTGCTCCAGAGTGAGGCCGATGCCTTTCAGGAAGAGACCGTATTGCATACGGCCTCCGTGACGGAGGTGGTGGTTTTCTCTCAGGGCCTGGTGGAGTTGCCTCATGCACAACGGAAAGGACTTAGCTGAAAGCTGAAAACGTGTGACAACAAACGATTACACATGAAGGTGTAATGAATTTACTGACCTACTACATGTTGCTATATTTACTTTCATTGACATCATGTCTAGCATTTGCTTGAAATCTACAGCAGCACTAAACACACTTTCTATCAATTCCTAGATCTAGTCACCAGTTTTTCAATACCAACCTCATCTCTCTCCTATTACAGCGACTACTCCCAGACACCCATGGCAGCCTGAACCTGACATTTAAAAAATAAACGGTCAGAGCAACTCACCGAATCAATTTGTTCCAAGGAGATTTTGCCCACATTCTTCTGAATGCTGTAATCCTGGCCCACATAGGCATGACTAAAATGAAAAAAAAAAACATGAAAAGAAGTTCAAGTTCTAAATATATATGACTACTGTACATTCCTTAGGTGTGAATGCAATATCAAACTTGGACTTGGATGAAAATCAATGACATTTTCTAAAGGAGAAGCGTGCTCTAGACAGCAGTTTAAATTCCAAACTGAAGACAGGTCTGAAGTGCTAAGAAAAAATGTCACTGCTTAACATTAACACATACAGCACATACACCAGAAGTGTTGAGAAAGTAAAAGTCCAATTTTAATTAGACTACTTCCAATGTCTACTGAATCCTTTGTGGAACAGTTTTACACCAAACTTTGTTCTACAAAAATATATTGCTGGCAACTTTAGCTTTATTTTTCTCCTCCACATTGAGACACTGTTGACAAATTATTGGTAGTAACTAAATAATAGATTTTCTGACCAATATGAAATTGATAGCTCATTTTCCAAGGTACATCTGATTACTCCTCACGGAACACTAATGTTACTTTTTTCTCATTTGTGTTATCATAATAAATTTCAAAATATTGCACTTGGTGACATTTGAAAATTAATATTTTGAATCCCTTAACTTAAAACAGTCATGAGTTACTGCTACAACAGGTCTGCTGCTTACCGTTTCAATCAAGAATTTAACCAAACTTTGTGAGGAGGAGAAAGATGTGTTTCAGTACATTTTGAATGAAACCTGCAGTAGATGCTTAAATTAAAAAAGACGCAGGTTTACTGCAGAACTAAACAAAGTGACTAATTTCACTGCTCATTTCTGCATTGTGGGAAACCCATGAAGAAAATTATCGCAATCTACTCACAGAATGACAAAACTGGTGCAGGAGCTCTTTGACTCTGCTGCCTTCAGACAGAGGTACGAGCTATATTATGTCCACACATTATAGAAGCAGCACATATGAAACGAAAATTAAAATATTTCATGCAAGTTTCATTATTGACAGTGAACATTTGGCCCCCATGCCTTACTGTGAACTCACAAATAAAAAATCAGGAAATGACTACAGCAACAAAGTGGGATGACTCAGACCAGCTGCTGCAAGCCCCCAGCATTCAAACATCAATTCTGCTAAATCTCTCCTTCTCAGCAGAGTTCTAGGAAAAATAGGAACACTATTATTTGCCCCACTGCTTACCTGAGATGGTTAAGGAGAGGTTGAAGCCGTTCATCAGAGTGCACTGCCGGTAGTGAGCGGGCTGCCAACTAGGGTGACAGAAAAACAAGAAGAACCGGACTGAGGCTTAATGGATGAAACCTAAAGCAATCAACCGAGCCACTCGGGTTTTGTGTCAATCAGAAATTTTCTAATTCTAAGAAAACTGCAATCAGTACATGTTGTACTTTTCTTTTACTGATGAAAACTCAAAGGGTAATACACTGCATTTTTTTAGCCATGCAGCCATTGGCTATATCAGAGTCATATTTTATTTTGATGTAAATTCCCTTTCCAAACAATGTTTATATTTATTTCAAAGCGACCTTTCAACAATAAAGAGAGGATTTTTTTTTTTATAATAACACTTTTTGTTGTTGCCCTTTTGTTGAACCCAGCAGAAGACAAACTGTCAAAATGATGCACTTACAGCAAAAATTGTTTATGCGTTATTTCCTCACAGCAGTTAGCACTCTGGATAATTACCAGGAAATAGAAAAGAGGCTGAACAGGAGGAAAATATCATCCTGATTTAGTTTCCTGCTTTTTTTCCTCCTAATCCCTCATTTGCGTTCAGTGTTTTTAGGTAAAAGCTAATCAAGAGAAGGTCCACTATACCCAAATAAGTATAATTTTATTTTATTTCCATTATGTTTAAGACAGTAATGGATTTGCTGGCACTTCTTTTTCAAGACAGAAATGCACTGGCAATTTCCACTCTAACCTGTTTGGCTCAGTAACAGCCCTGAATTCCTGACAATGTCAATGGATATTTTAAATCGGTGGCCACACAGTCCACTCTGCGTCATGAACACAGGCATTACTACAAAACACATGAACTGAAAGTGACTGCTGAGTTAAATGCAAACCTTTGATCAAAGTGCCAATGAGTTTGTTTGTTTTTTTCTTCTTAAATACACAAGGCAGGATGCCCACAGTTTAACAGAAGCATCAAACATACGCATGGGAAAGAAATCAAGTAAAAATGTTTGGAATTTTTTTTGGAATTAAATCCTGAACTGTATGCATGGACCTACCACTCAAGCCCTACGTGAGTGGTAGAAATCACCTAACGAAGCCAAAAAGACAACAAAGAAACCTATAAGCCCTGACAATGCCTTCTCTGCTTTACACATAAAAGGTCCTTGGTTCAAGCCCCAGAGGCCTGTGCAGCAGATGTGCTGTTAACACAACAATTTCCTCATTGTGGATTCAATAAAGTTCAAATTATTATTTAAATTATGAGGACCTTTTACTTGCTTAGGTCTCATTTTTCTCCTGTATTTTTTCCCCTTATATTTTGGTACAAAGCCCAAGTCGACTCAGGTTCTGCACAAGGCCACCGCCTTGGTTGTTGGTCCTTTTTGTGCCCTTTTCCAAGTCAGGATCCATTACGACAATGTAACCAAACCTCGGTTGTCTCCTCATATGAATTATGAAGAATGCCTCGGGCTTCCAAAACATCATGATTCACATCCCTTCGAGCATTTATTGCACTGCACGAATGTGCCAATGCTGCAACTTCACAACACAGAACACATTCCACAGTCTTTAAAAAAAAACCCATCATGCCCACAGGGACAAAAGGCACTTTCACACTAGCTGTCCTCCGTCTTACCTCCATACATTTAATGTCATGTGTGCGCAGTTACTTCCCCCCATTTGAACCCTTGCATTACTCCAGCCCCCTGAAGGACTCAACACAAATGCAATTTAATGACAAGCCTGATGCCACCAGGCTTATTTTATAAATGAGTTTACATGGGGTGGAGAGCACACAACAGAACCACTTTACAACATCATGTAAGGTGACGCTGCTGCGGTGCATCGAGACAGAATGATATTGATTAAATCTGGCGATAATGTTTATTTATCTTTTTATTATTTTAAACACACAGAGGTCAAAGGTAAAGGTACTTTATTATGTACAGATCTGTAAACAACTTTCATGGAACAGTGGCCTATGAATTAATAAAACTGTATAGATATGTGCAGATAGTAAATGTGATGTAAATGTAAAATAGAATTTCCAAAATTCAAGTTTGTGCCATCTTGTACGTCAGGGGCCACCAACCTTATTTGTCAGAGGGTCAGAATTATTTTGGACAGACATGGGGTGAATAAAATAATTATTTTTTTTAAATCACATTTTTGTCTAACATTATTAATGTTGCAGGACTAATTGGACCATTTGGTGGGGCGGATTTGGCCACTACACATTTGAGTGTTTCTTCAAACATTTAACCAGAGGCACTACAGCAAGATCCCTGAACTGAATGGGAACTTGTTATGTGCAGGACTTTTGATCACATTTTCAACTTTATTCATTTTCTGAACCTGATAACAACAAAGGTTTGGTCAGAATTATTTGGATTAAAAAAAAATCTCCCTCCACTGACACAAAAAGCCATGGTCACAGAACAGTCACTGAGCCTGTTCCAGTGTTTCCTATCAGCAAATTCACATAAGCAGTTCACACCACTCTCATTTTGACAGCAGCAGACCATTATCTCATTGGTCATTAATTCATTAATTATCTTTGAAACGGCAAAAAGTTATCACTTACTGCGAGAGCCTTTGACAGCCTTGTGCGAAAATCGTTGAGAATGATGGTAACAATGTCCTGGTGCGGGATGTACACGTAACCTCCTCTGAGGTACACTTTTCTGGTTCGCACCAGGTCAAGGGCATCCTGGAAAGGAACCTGTGAAGGAGAAATACCTTCAATGATTCCTGCTTTCAAAATGCATCACTTCAATATCCATTTTACATGTACATTTTGGTCAGTATGGCGAGGTAATCCCTCTTGTATTTATGGCTACTACTTTGTATGTGATCTGAGGATTTACTCCAGCCAGAGTTTTGATTTACATTCTGTGGACACAGAGCCTGTCAGCACCAAGCATGAGAAAATATACACTCCAACAGCATCCGCCCCCCCAGCCACTCATTTCCTACAGTAGACTTAGATCTGTTTATCCATGAAAGGTTATGACGCAGATCTGTCCATCAGGCAGTCTTTTCTCATGCGCTTCACTCACACTTTCTTTTTCCTTCTCTACATTATATATTATTCAACTATTAAACATTGAGACCATGCAGTATTATGTCAAAACAATTCCAAAAACCGTGTTACCGTTACTGTGCATTCTGACTTATTCTCACACTACTCAGGGTAAATATTTTTCCGCAGTAAGATGACATAAACAACCACAGGGTGTCAAACTGTATTTTGCTTTTTTTTTGTATTATTAAAATATGTTCCGACTCTAACAAAGCAGCAGGGCCTGGAGGCACAAGAGTTGAAATAAATAAAGCAGAACTCAGAGGAGAACCAGCTTCGCTGCAGAAGCAGGTCATATTTTATTTTATTTTATTTTTAAATGAGTTCACTGTTCACTCCACAGCTTTGCTTGCACTTTGGGGCTGCTTAAGATCACAAACAATGAGCCTCACTAATGAGAAAGCCCCTGTAATTATTTCAAGTCCAACAGTCACCCAAAGGCAGAAAATAAAAATCCTAAGTTTTATAATACTTTGATTTATGTTGTTTTTCTATTCAGGTCTAAAAAGGTAGCTAATGGTAATGGCAGAGTAAGAGCCAAATATTTACAGCCTCATTCTGAGTGTGTGTGTGCGCATAGCTCTCCACCAATGTGTGTCACAATGACAAGTAGTTCACTTTACCTATGACTGCCATTTATTGTTTGACTTCACAGTCTGAGCATGGACCAAAAAAAATTAGATTATAGTTAGGTTTGAAAATGACAGCATCGAACAGAGAGGCTTCAGTGTCCACTAAATATTCGGCAAAACATAAACACGTTTTTTCATGAAATAACCAAAGTCAGAAAGTTTCTCTCAGAGGTCATTTTGGTGCCTTTTCCTAGACGCACTTTTTTTCTGACCAGCAGGCTGAAATTTTACCTAAATTAATTTTAATATTTAATTAGATGATACAGCTTGAAAAGTCATATTTAATCATTTGGTTAGCTTATAAATCCAAAAGTAGCAATCACCTTGAAAGAGACTACGTGTACTCCATCTAGCAAGGTGAAGCTATTGGCCGCCTTTAGAATCTCCAGCATGGCAGATTAATGATCTAAAAAGTGAGGTTTATCAGAGCTGACCGATGCAGACAACATTAATATTATGCAGTTGAACTAATAGGCTTAATTAAATAAATGAAAAAGACGGGTAATTATGGATCATTTATAGGAACCTCTTCTTATACATAATCTTATACAGATTATGTTCATATGTCATATCTAAAAACCTTTTTGGCCCCAGCGGCGATTGGAGGACAACGCAGCAGTAAAACTGAAGAAAGTGTCAAGTGAAGAACAAATATAGTGCAGTAAAAACAATCTGATAGAGAAATAACTGCTGAAAGTGACTGGGGAACTATACTCACTTTGTAAAAGTCCTGCTCCTTCACAGTGGCTCCACTGACATTATAACTGGAGTGGGTCAGTTTTACCAGCAGATCCATTTTCTCCTTGGCACTGATCTGAAAAAGTATTGATGAGAATGTGATTATTTAGTCAGGAACAGCAAAAGCATAACTGTGTCAGTGTGAATACCACACAGGTTACAGTGTTCAACAGTGCCACCAAGTGACAAAACTTGGTTATTGTATGCCAGCGTCGATTTCATTTTTCAGTGATCTGCGGATCGGGTGTTTTGCATTAAACATTCGGATAGCGAAACTAACCGGGGTTGTATTTACATCAGAGTGACTGTTTTAATACAGTATGACAATGGTAGAAATTAAATTTGAGGTTGAGAAAACTCACCGTGTCGTACTTGAGATTATTTCTGTGAAGAAATTCAAGCTTTTGTTTCGGCAGCAGCAAGTTGAAGCGGAAGCGAAACAGATCGACCTCTTGCTGGATGAACCACCGTCTAAGATCCTCTCTGTGAAATACCATTACAATGAAATGTGTTTTAAACCTTTATTTAAACTTCAGAGTCCATAACAGTAAATGTTTGTTTTTAATTTGCAATTAAGGTTAGGTTTAGAAAAACTGTACTACTACTGTACTACTACTGTAATACTTACGTTTGACAATAGGCCAGTCTGAGGATAAAGTGTGAAATATGATCCTTCCTTTGTTTGTCATAGTCACTTAGTCCAATCTGAGGTTTTTTGTCATCCTTCAGGTCAAAACAGAAATATTTTACATTTGAAAGAATATATGTAAATTAAACATTTGTCAGTTTCTCAGTGTAAATACTAAAAATTGTATCATATTTATCTCTACCTTTTTTAAGATTCCTATTACAGATAACTGTTTGTCAGAAATTATCAAAAACCCCCACCGTCCCTACTCTGTCAGGAACGCTACTTCTCAGCTCTTGCTGCAGTTTCTTCTCATAGTCCTCTGATGTTTTGAGGTGGCGCACTCCCAAATTCTCGACAGCCTTCAACACTGCGACAACATTAAAAAGTCAATATTAAAGAAAAATCCTGTGTGTTCTATACATTTTAATTAATTATTCTATTTCATATAAAGATTTGTCAACGTAACTTACATTTAAGTCTTTCTACAGCAAATGTCTCAAATTCAATGAGAGACACATTTTCAAGAGGAGGCTGTCCATAGAACTGAAGTGTTTGTCCATACAGCTCCGTCTGAGGACCACCAATAAACTTCTTTCTTCTTCTGGAAAACTCCATTGTAGCTGAGGAAAAAAAAAAACATGTCTTCTAAAATTTTATAATACAAAGTTCAGCACTTATACAATATAATTGTTTTCAGGAGATTCTAGAAGTGCACTACATTGTTGCTGTTATTTACTATTGTTTATTATCTTATAATTAAACTATATTTTCAGTTAGTTTAGGGGAAATTTAAACAGAAGAAGCTGGAGAAGTACAGAAATATGAAATTTGCTGTATTATGAATGCAACTTGTTTACAGGGTCAATAAGTAATCGTTTAAATAACCGTGATTTAATTATTAAACAACATAATTGGGATTATGTTTTTCCCATAATTGAGCAGCCCTACCAAATATAATTCCAATTCATATGTGACAAATTACAGTGTCACTTGTGCAGTACATCTAATAAAGAGTGTGGATCGATACATCGACACATATGACTTTCCAAAGACACTAAGTGTCGAAATTGTTCTGAATCACCAGTTTAGAACTGGTGATTTAGTTTAGTTCGTCCCACAACCATAACACCAGCTTCTGTGTTACAGACTATGTTAGCTAATAAGCTAATGCGCCTCGAGCCACTAAGGTAGTGATATTAAGCCTCTGAAACGCCACTAAACTATTAAACAAGCGGGTCATTTAGGTATTAGAAGTTCAACAAAATAAGACATTACCGAGTAAGAGCTGAATTTGCTGCTAGTGAGGTTACTCCCGCCAAACAAAGCAGGCTGTTCAACAGACGCGGGTAAAGAGTGACGTTTATTTCCAACACAGGAAGCGGAAACACTGTCATGTTAGTGTATGTTCGTTTAGGTATTGTGTATGTCCCGTCGTTCCCATGAGTCTGGATTTACTACTTGGGGATCTAAAAAAAACCGTCTCAGTTTTGTAATGGTTCGGAACAAGTATTCACCTTAGATACCTTACAAATACAAGATGAGTCGTGGATTGCACTGGGATGTTGTAACACCTCACTACTTTGTGGTTTGCATACACTGTATGCTATACTGACGTCAATACCTGCAGTCGTGACTACAAACACACCAGGACTTGACGGTAACACTCTCGGTATGTATACTCTTTGGTTCTGCTGCTTAGCAACAAACATTAGCGAGCTAACCAGTTGCCTGGCTAGCAAAGCTTCTATCAGGAGCAACGTAGTCAGCTGGAGCACTGGTGGCTCGTTGAATGTCAGTAGGTAGTATTTATAACCATGTGATCATCACAGATTTTACTGAGGTGTGGTCATTAGTCAGTGTTATCGGGACATAGCATCGGTATAGTTCAGACACTAGCCAGTTACCATACGCAGGTTAAGAAGGTTCTGAACACTGGGGAAAGTGGCTACGCTCAGCTAGTTATCATTAGCAGCAGAGTCACTGGCGTCCCCTGTCACAGAGAAGGAGAAGGCTGGAGATATGTGATTGTGAGTCAGCTGGTGAGGCAGCTCGGCTAATGTTGGCGGACATCGGATAAGTCGTTGCCCTGATTTACAGGTAAGAAAGCGTCTAGCGACCCTGCGTGGGTGCTTTCTATGAGTCTGATATGGACCCTTTCCCCCATTCAGCTTCAGCGGTGCTACAGTGGCTGCTGTTAGGTACTTCAAGCCTCAATTCAACAGGTCATATCTGGACCATGTAAAGGAAGTCAGATATGGATTATCAAGACACAAATGAAAACTTTTAAACAGTTCTCTATACGCCCACCCAGTTAGACAAAAACACAAAGAAATGCGAGGTATTTCTACTGTCATTGTGCAACGTTTGACCCAAAACAGCTGTAACATAAACAGTGGTGTCTACTTTTTTTTCCCAGAACAGGCCATCTATGACAATGTAAAAACATTTTAGAGACATGCTTCTTTTGTGATGTGTCAGATGAAGTCTTGATTGTGTCAGATGAAAAACTGATTTAATGCAGACATTGTTGTTTCTTTACAGCTTGAAAAACTGAAAATGGAAAAAAATGAAATGAAAATGTGCAGCCTCTACAGCCTGCTGTTTTTACATGCTCAAAATATCATTGCAAAGTCTTTGCAACATGAAGCTGTTACCACAGTTCCAATCCAGTTCATGTGAAACACAGCCAAGATAAAGACATAACATCTTGTGAGGATTATAGGTAGACTCTAAAAAGACACAGTCATCATATCCACTGTGCCCACAAACTTACAAGTCTCCAGGCAAAAGCTGTTCCCATCAGGGTGAGGAAAGGAATCACCTGGGCTATTCTGAACCTACTCTGCATCCACTTAGTAATCAAAGAGAAGTGGAATGGAGATCCACTCACTCCTGAGGTTATGTGTGATTAAAGGACATATAAGTACTGCACACAGACGTCAAACAGCCAAGTTTTTGCAAAGAAAATGGTTATTTTGAGTAAGACCAAACATATTTTTCTCTAATCATAACAACAAGCAAAAATAAAAGGTTGTTAACCATCTGTGCTATGGTTTTTCATTGTACCAGCTTGGCTACGTTTACAAATCTTATCTATATTTATGTCTAGTAAACCAAGATCAATTGAAACACTGTAAAGCCTATTTACATAATGCTTCATCCTTGTGCACTGCCCTGCCACAACACTCACATGCACTTATATTTAACTTTCTCCAACAAGGCTACTGTTTTACATATATCATATAATTCTCTCCAGATTAGCATTGAACAATGTTTTAATATAAAACACTTTGTCTGTCCTTGAATTAATAATATACATAAAATATATATATTTTATGAAGTAGTTGATTACCAAAACACAGACTACAGGAGTTGATGCAGGAGCTGGAGTCAAAGATGCAGTTTACAAAACTCAACTCAGTACCAGAGCTAACCGCTCAATTTTAAATTGAGTTCTGCCAGCGTATTAAAACAAGTGCTGCATTATGCAGCTCAATTATGGCTCGTGAATACTATCAGCCAGTGTGGCTGAAATCCAGACAAGCTGTTGGATCTGTTCTCACAGTAGGCACAGTGTCTTCTGGGCGCTGCTTTCTCCCAGTATTTTGTTTACCCTTGCACTCAGCAGGACCATGTGTTACTGAGGAAGAACCAGTTGCCATGTGGACTCTCTGCCACTCTCAACGCTAATGGGAAGATAAACATAGGGCACGGTGCCTTCCTGTTAAATTTACAACTGTCAATATGACACATGCAATAACAATAAACAGAGGAAAATTCCATCCATTGTTTGTGTAAAGATCATCAATAAAGGCCGTTTAGTTTCTTTTCCTCCACGACAAAACAACAATAGCAAAGGGAGACTAATGTAAACCTTTGTTGTAAACTTTGTAAACATCAATATCTTAATATAATAATATCTATCCACTTCTAGGCTATACATGTGTCCGTGTGATTAAAACTGCCCGGCCGGAGTGGAAGAGACAAACCAAGCCAGATTTCGCCACCATGCTGGAGGAGGACATGGAAGTGGCCATCAAGGTGGTCGTCGTGGGAAACGGAGCAGTTGGCAAATCCAGCATGATCCAGCGTTACTGCAAAGGCATTTTCACAAAAGACTACAAAAAGACCATCGGAGTGGACTTCCTGGAACGGCAGATAGTGTAAGGAAATAGTTTAAGAGTTAGTCATTTAAAGCAGGTACAGAAATTCTCTGTTTAAATTTGGATAAAAACTGTACAGTATGCTCTACATTTAATTTAGGTGTACTTCTACAAAAATGTTGTTAATGGAAAATTATAAAAAAGAAATTTCCTGGTTGTTGATTCAGTGTCAACAGTGAAGAAGTACGACTGATGCTGTGGGACACCGCCGGTCAGGAGGAGTTTGACGCCATCACCAAGGCCTACTATCGTGGTAAGACACCCATCGCTGACAACTACACAAACCTCATAGATTATTAACTGTGTGGTTTCGATTGTGAAGTGTTTTTGAGCACACCAACTGTGTGTGCTCAGAAACACTCCACCACTGCAGACGGGCTTGTTGTATGTTGTTTGTAATTCATTGTCATTGTATATTTGTGTCCCAGGTGCTCAGGCATGTGTGCTAGTTTTCTCCACAACTGACCGAGAGTCATTTCAGGCCATTGACAGCTGGAGAGAAAAGGTGGAGGCAGAGGTTGGAGATATTCCCACCGTTCTTGTGCAGAACAAAATTGACCTCCTGGAAGAGACGGTTATAAAAAAGTATGTTTTATACATCGACCTTGACTTATAAATAGAGACGGTTATAAAAAAGTATGTTTTATTCTCCAAAGACATCGACCTTGACTTATAAATATACAGTATAAGGCCCGACAACTTTATCCGATTTTCTTTTTCCACTTGCATCACAGCGAAGAGGCAGAAGCCTTGGCTAAGAGACTCAAACTGAGATTTTATCGAGCTTCGGTAAAAGAGGATCTTAATGTCAATGAAGGTGAGTTAGGTCATGTTATCTTGGTCATGTTAGATTAATCATGATGATTAATTGTTTATTAGACACACTGTTATTAATTAGATTAAATTGTTTAAATTGCTCAGTAAATTGTCTGACACTCCTAGTTTTGGATTGATTTTTGTTACCTAACACTTCTGTCTCTTCAGTTTTCAAATACCTGGCCGAAAAGTACCTACAGCAGCTCAAGCAGCAGACAGCAGAGGAGACAGAGGTGGCTCACACAACCAGCAATAAAATAGGTAATGAATATTTGTTTGTAAGGACCTTCATGGCAGATTTTGTGCTCGAAGACAACCGTCTCTAATCAGAAATACTGTTTTTCCCACAGGTGTTTTTAATAACATGAGTAGTAATGTCTGCAATCAGAGCTCCAGCAATGGCAGAGAAGTCATCAATTTGCGACCTAACAAGCAGAGGACAAAGAAGAGTAAAAATCCCTTTGGAAGTTGCAGGTTACTCTAGTTAGAATAATCTTTGTTTGCTACAATTAAATCAAACCCTCACTTGATTGGTCAATTATGTGTTCACAGTTGTTAATGCTACCATTGGACTCAAAACCCATGTAAAGGTTGAGCTCAGCTTGCTACCAAACAACTCATTTGAATAAAAACAGTTTAAATATAACTAATTATAGTTACACTAAAACAGGAACAGAAACAATTGTTTTTATAGCAACAACAATTAGAGTGATTGCAGTCTCACTTAGCCTGGGCTGCTTTGGAATTTCCAATACATTTCTAAGCTCCAAAACAGAGCAGTTCACAACACTGAACCAAATGCATGCTCTCGCCACTCGAACAATAACTACTTCAAGTGTGAAGCTGCCCAATGACCAGATCAGACATGGAGGTAGCTACCTTCAGAGACCAAAGTCCAAGGGATTAGAAAAAACATAAATTGTTAGAATTTTAATCTGTGTACATGTTAATCTGTTACTACTATTAAAGTCATGCCCATGGGTCGACACACTAAACCTCTTGACCTTTGTGCACACCAAGCACTCATCAGTTTTCGGGTGTATAATATAACACAGTGATATCTGAGATATGCTGCAGTCACATGCCTTGACCTGCATTAAGAATTAGCACAGTCTTACAATCTTACATTGTGAATTGTTCTTGCTTCATTTCGACCATTTCTGACATCTCCACCATGCAGTGGATATGTTTGCATGCGCTGTCGATTTTTGTTCAAGCACATTGTTTTCTAACTAAGTCGACTGTTCAGACAATAGAGTTGTTGTCGACTGTCACTCCTGTGTGCAGTATTTTTGTATTAATCACAACAGTGTTGAGTGATTGCACTCAAGTGTTGACTCTGTGCCAAACCTCCATGATTTCCAAGCGTTTAGGATTTTGGGTCAAGCAACAAATTATCTTTTTCAAACAAACAATACAATTAAGATACAAAAAAACAATCGGTGCGTCCGTTTACAGCAGAGCTATTTAAAAATGTGTTCATCAAATCCCGAGACTAAACTAGTTTTCTCAGTTTCCTTTGCTGAGTTAATGTTGTTTCATTAACATTACAACAGCATTTCAGATGTTCAAATGTTGGTAAAAATGCAACTAAACTCAAATCTGTATAATCTAGATTACTATACACATCCATAGCTAATTTATACATTAACTTCACTGATGCTTGACTGAACACTACATTATTTTATAATTTCATTACATTTCAGACCCTAAGGATTGACTCTTTTTCTACAATTTTCCTTTTCTGCACATTCTTATTATTGCTGTTATTCCATTTTTCTCACGTCTCTGTTCCTTAACTGGTAAATATGAAATTGGGATTAAAGAAATATTAAATAGTATGAACTCGAGGTGCCTTGAGCTTGACGTAAAGCTTTGCTCGGCGGTATTACAAGAAGTTGACAGGATTCTTTTGTTTGTTTGTTTGTTCGACAGCATGCTCATGTGGATTTCCTGAATGTACAGTAAATCTTGTTGTTCAGAAGAGATCGTCAAACCAGATATTTTATTCCTTTATACAGCTACTTTTGAAATATTTCTACATGAATGATGGCAAGCACAAAAAAATATGATGTGTCTTGGATAAAATCTATGTTTACTAAAAAAAACTATATATTGATATGAATTCCTAAAGAAATACAGAGACTGTCACCTGTCCTGTTTTGCCTTTTTAAAAGGTAACCGAAGCTAAATGTATTTTATAAAAGTCTCAAGGTGAGACTAAACTTTAATTTAGCTTCAATTTTTTTTTATATCTGTATGTTAACACTTGAGAGTCAAAGGGGAAAATTATTACGATTTAACTAATGCATGCAAGCCTTGTTTTCACTTCATATTTAAACCAGAGCTGCAGAACTTCAGTGCTTTGTCCATGAATAGTTTTTCACCCAGCGATCATCACTTACAGTTCTAATCCCACCTGAGGTCATATGGTTAAATCTCCTGTTAAAAATATAAACTACTCCTTCTTTTCAAATGTAACATTTGCCTTTTATATGTTTTTGTTTTTTTGACTGAGTGGATTTAGTGCACTTTATTGTTAAGATGAGAGACCATCTTAAAGAACCATGACATGAAACTAACCATACTTATGTGCTGTCACTCAGGTGTTGTAATAATCCGTGTCCTGAAGTTACCGTTTGTTTAATTCAAACGCAAAAGCATTTTCACACGTTTAGACAACCCAGTAAAATTAGTGTTTGCTGACAAAAACACTTTGTTGGATCATTTGTTTAACTGCTTTAAATAAAAGTATACATGTATCACAACTCACAGTGTGCTGCACCACTGCACACCAGATGTTGAGTTAAAGTCAGGATGATTGTAATCTGGAATAAATGTATAAATAAAACTTCTTTTTTCCATGGGAATATGGTGTCTTTTTTTTCCAAGGATTGCACTTGTCTTTCAGCAACATGTTTGGGTAAGTCTAGGGTAGGGGGTGACACTCAGGTTGCTGTAGCTCAATAGGTAAACCTGGAAAATGCACACTTAAGGTTGTGGCTTGGATTCCAAAATTGGTGACATGTATGTCTTTTACACCTGGTGCAACCCAATTTGGGATCTAAGCAGTCTTGAACCTGGAACCCTCTGGTTGTTGACAGAGGTCCTACCCCTGACCCGCTCTTGCCTACTAAACCATTTTAACATAACATACAACAATTGTAGGAAAACAGCTCTATAATATGTTGACTTTGTGTTTTATTTGCTTAAAAAGCAGTTTTGGGAAACAAAACTCACACTACTTTAATTTAAAAAAAATGTGTTTCTTCAGAAGGTGCTGTTTGCACGTGTGGCACACTGTGATGTACACACATCATGTCTAAGGGTAAGTCAAGAAGCTATTGAACCAATGGAAAAAAGAAATTATTCAGGAACAAAGCAAATTCTCTATCTATATAGTCCCCATTTAGGCTTACACGCTTCAACAAGCGGTGAGAATTGTTTTTTTGTAGAATTCTGGAAGATGTCACAACAGGTGACAATGCCAAGGTCTGAATTCTAGTCATAGATGTCATTTTGTAATTTAGAAGACCATTCCAATTTACGCCAGTAGATGGGGATAGACAGTTTGCCTTGATTCATTAACATGAAGGCAGCAGATAAAAAACACGACCTCAACGTGTGTGTGACGTTTCTGGTTTTCTCCTTCTACTATACCATTATTGATTTGACAAAAACACGGTCCTGTTTAAACGTCACTCGTGATTAATCAGATCATGTTTTGTATTAGTACGTAATCAATACTCGGTGATAAGAAGTATTAGTATTAACACACAAACCACAGTGATGATTATTAAGAGAGATCAGATGTGTTTGTATTCTTTTGGCACTCAGTGTGTGTATTATTGTTACATTATTGTGTGCACTTTATAACTGGCCTCCATGCTACATGTGAAATCTATGTGTAATAATTTAGCTTACAACACTTGTTTGGTAAAGTCAAAGTCATCCAAAGATACTCATGTTTTAGTGATGGGATTATTTCCCATTGGTTTGGGGCACCTCAATTTTCTGGTGGTCCATAATCTTGATGTTCTTTTCTGCATTCTCAATGTTCCTCATCAATGTCTCCAGCCTCTGCTTGATCTTCTTCTGGTCCTCCAAAGCGCAGCCTATCACGATGGCCTGAAACTTTTGATCGATGGGGACGGGGGGCGCCTCAGTAACACAGGCGGCGTACAGGGCCATCAGTCGCGTGCGGCTGTTGCCCATGTCATCCAGCATCTTTGCCACTATTTCGTCTATTATAGACGTGGCCTTGCGCAGCGACTCGTCCTGCTGAGGGCTCCTTGTTGTGCCGACAGAGATCTCCACCGACAGTGTCCGGCCCATGAGACGGTTGGCAGTTAAATCTAACTCCTCTCTTTCTCCTAGAAGACATTGCGATATAAAATGAACTGTGTGACATTGTGGGTTTTTTAGTATAGTTAGTGTGACTGCTTTAAAGTGGACAATATTAAACTGTGTCTGTGTAATTCCAGGCTTTGGAATGAAGGGAGGCAGTAATGAATAACACATCTCCACTGAGGGTGGATTTTTAATGTGCATCTGTTCCATTTTTATTGTCAATGAAGTCAGTCTGTGAACTTAAGTTTTCTCTCAGGCAGGGAGTTTTCCTTTGAGTCATTTGAAAGGTCTGACACAGTCAGTTTGTGTGTGTGTGTGTGTGTGTGTTACATACTTAAGGCTTCGCCTGTTTTTCTTAAGGCCTGTAGTACATATGGAGACCAAGACCTAGTCCTTTGAAGTTAAAACCTTTTTTCACAGTCTCAGTCCAATGGAATATGGCACGCTGGACACAAGTGTACCACTGCTGTAATGCTTGAATGGTAACAAGCCTCCAGTCTCTAGGTGGCAGCAACCAATACATTGGTTTATACAGAAAAAAATTATACCTGTGACCAGGTTCTCAATAGTATTTAAATTCGCGGGGGTGTGGATCGTAAAGGTGGGGCGTGAAAATATTTCTGTCTAGGGGAGGGGGGCATGACAGAAAATTAATGGATTAGAGCAAAGTTATGGTTGTGATTAATTAGTAATGGTTAAGGTTAAAGACCTGGTTAGATGTATGTGTGTATGGTGTAGCTGTACGGGTATGAGGGACAAACGTTTAACATATTACAGTGGTGAGGACACTTTGTTCTTATGAGGTCATTTTGCTGAAGGGGGGTATTTTGAGGTTGAGGACTTAGTTAGGGTTAGGGTTAGAATTAGGGTCTAATTCGAGTTAGTTTAAAGATTACTAAATGTATTTGTCATTCGGTCAAGAGCTCATAAACATGTATCAGTGTTTGAGTGTACAGTACAGTACAGTACAGTATGGACGGCCTCACCAGCACAAATGTTACGCATCTCCTGGCTGTTCTGAATGGATTGAATCATTTCCAGGATGCACTCTCTTTCCTGTTCCATGGCTGTGGCCGTTTCACGCAAAGTCTCCACCCTGATAAAAGACAGACAAGAACCACAACCACAGACTGAGACAACATCAACCCGCTGCACGATCGGGACACTGGTATTGGACCAAGACAATACATGATAAATAAACAAACTAAAAACAACTTTCTGTACATCTGCATCTTTAAAGACGGGGCACATTGTCAGACCGATGGTCTGAGCAGCATTTGATTGAAGTGGGACAAATACTGCACCTCGATCTAAAATAAATAAATAAATAAACCGTCCCAGGGGCTTTTCTTTTAACTTTAGCAACATGATCTATCTTCCCTTAAATTTGTTTTACTTCCACCAGATTCAACAACACGTCACATGCATGTGATGTACATTTGTGACACATGTCCAGGCCTCATTACTCCAACTGTACCTTATTTCCAGTTGATCCAAACTTTCCAGGAGTCTTCCAGACCGGTCAGCCATGGACAAGGTCCTCCTGAACTTGCCGTGCGCAGCTTCGTTCATTTTCGCGTGGATTTTCGCTTGAGCCATGACGTTGATTTGTTGTAATAACAGTAATAACAATGATCCGTCACTGAGTCCACGTCCTGTGTCCAGTGTGTGATCAGCTCTGTGTGCAGCTGAGTTTGACTCCTCACTCCGGCTTCACCGCAGCAGCGACCCCGGGGAGAACATTTCCAAACAAGGAGCGTAACTTCCTCCACTCACTCCTCACAGAAGATTCCCGACTCTTCCAGAAGAGAGTTCAGTCGCTTCTAAAGACAGGAGAATGATGATCCCTTCAGATTCACTTTAAATAAAAAAATGAATTAAGTTATTCCTGTATTATTTAAATAACTACATTGGTTTCCATGGCAAAATAATCCTAGTTATTATTTTGAGTAAACATGGGACATGGGTTTTTTAGGACTTACACACGTGTCAGGCCATTCTCACCAATGGGTGAATCACTGCTTAGTAAGAAGATGAAATACCACATCCAGTTAACTCTCAATTGACCACTAATTGTTTCCCCTTAAGACCAGTAACTAGCGTTAAATTCTCTTCCAAAAGTTTCTATAATACATTCTAACATTATTGTCCCTTTAAAGTGTAATAAATCCAAAACTGTGGTGTATGCCAGTGTACCCTGACAGTCATAACAATAATAATTATTCCTATTATTATTGCTGCTGACTTTGCTAAGTCAACCTGCTCTTACATCCCATTAAAATGTAATGATCTACAGGATATGGCAGTACTTCAGGACTTCATGTGTGTGCTGAAAACACAGAGTGCAATTTGAGACGTCCAGCTTTGGCATCCTGCAGTGTCATCAATGCCATCTACAGCATGTGTTAGCACACACGGTCTGTTAGAAGACATTACTTCAAGTAAATAACAAAATAACATGTGCTGATCCTAGTGGGAGACAGAGAGGAGGACAGAAAAAACACATCTCAGGGGATAACATTTATTTGTCATAAGTTGAACACAACTTGAACACAACTAATAACATCAGCAGGTGAGATTAACCATTAAACAAACTTGAGGACTCCATTAGAACTCCAGGAGACTTCTTTTAAGTGCTTCTTCCATCTCTGTTAATAAAATCAAACACATAAAGACACTGGTACAGAAAAGTCCAAATACAGAACAAAAGTCTGTTTGCTATTCCTTAATAGATTTTTACTCTGTTCAACTTTACCTGCTGACTCTTTTGCATCTTCACTCATAGACAGAGTGTGCTTCATTTCTTCATCGGAACCATCTGTAGAATTTATAAAAGGAGCCAGTTAGGTAAAGAAAACAGAACATGTAATTATCAACATATAAGAAACAGATACATGAACCTTATTCATTGTTCTTTGTTGACATTACAGAAATGTGATGTCAAGTGAAGAAATAATAAACAACTCCACTTCACTGCAGGAAACACATCGTGGTCCATTATGTATTTCTTATTAATACATTTGTCTTTGGTAGTGTTCAAGGACCAGAACCTTTTATACTGTGATGTATTCTACTATATAATGCCATTAACAGAAGGAAACACATTTTTCTATAATAATCAGTTGGTTGCTGTGAAAAGCAGTTACGGAGTATTAGGTTACTAGATCAGCATGTTTTTGAGTACAAGTATTTGAATAACCTTTCAGTCCATTCCTAATAATAATTCTACTTTAATAATAATAATAATAATAATAGTAGTAATGTGATCATTAAAAATTGTTTTACTCACCATTTTTTTCAGAGTTGACCTCCACAGCATCATGTGTATTTCCAGTGGTGGTTTCAGTTTTTATCTCCTTGTTACAGGACCTGGAGATGACACAGGGCTCCAGTTCACAGTGTTGGGAGTGATAGTGATTGTGAAAGTCTGGAACACCCACAAAACCTTCTGGGCAAGCCGTGCACTGTATGTTGAATGTCTTGTCCAGGTTCAAGGCAGCGTGTTTGGTGTGGACGTGAGTCTTCATCTGTGCATAGTTGGGTACAGACAGACCACAGGGGGCGCACACGTACAGGCATTTCCCTTCAGTTGCCAGCTTCTTCATACACTTTGTGTATATGGCTTTTCTTTCCTTTTTGCTCTTTTTGGAACTCATGCATAGGCAGGTGAGCTGACTGACACTCTCATCGACAGTGGGCTGAGCAACATCATCATTCAGACAGCAGTATTCTGTACTGTGCAGCCGCTCGTAATGCTCCAAGAATTCGGCTTCAGTGTCAAACTGCATGCTGTCGCAGAGGCCGCAGAAGTGGAAGCTCTTCATCTGACCTGGGTGCTCGTTCAGGCAGTGTCGGCGCACAGTGGACTCTTTAAAGAACTTCTGAGGACAGTGTCCGCAGATGAATCTCTGAAAGCTGTGTTTGTTTACGTCACTGCAGTGTAGGCGGACGGCTACTTCTGAATCAAAGGTGTCTTCGCACATGCCACACATCCAGGTCTGCCTCACTGTGGAAGACGAAGGCCTCACTGTGTTCTGAGGAGCACTGAGTTTAGATGATGAAGCTTGAGGGTCGTGATAACTGGTGGAGGGCTTGGAGTCCACCACCTTGGCCACATCTTCAGACACTTCTTGTTCAGAGAAGTAGGTGTGTCCACTGTGAGCTTCAGACACATGCAGCAGGATGTCTTCATACCGTGGCATTTCCACCTTGCACTTGCGGCAGTAGAATAGAAAGTTGGAGAGGTGCGCTCCTCCGTGAAAGCGGCTCATGTGCAGACGGGCGATGGAAGATTCATTCATGAGTTTGCCACACACGCCACACTGATGGAAAATCTGGTTCACAGCCAGGATGTGCTTCCTGGCGACGGACTCCTCTGGGAACGACAGGCCGCACTCACAGAACCACGCTACTGTAAAGTTTCTGCTGGTTCGCTGTCTTTTGGTTGAGGAGTTGTCACTCTCACTGTTCCACATCCTTTTCTGAACATGGCTAGTGTACTCTATTTCCCCTGGTGCATGCTTAGCCCTCAGGTTTTCCTGACTGGGACCAAACCTACAGTGCTGGAGAAGTGCTTTCTCCATGGTTAAATTCATCTCCACGTCATGTTGCGTGGATTCTTTGTGTCCTTCGATTTCAGCTTGAGTGAGGAAGATTTTGCAGCAGGTGGAGCACTGCCCCTGCACTTGCAGCTGCTTTATCACCTGTACAATAGTTTTATCAGCTTTGGCCACGGCACAACCCTGTCTGCAGTACACACTGAGAAAGAAAAAAGAACAAAAGAGTGAAAAAGAGACAAAAATGTATAAAAAGAACAAAGAAAAAAACAGAGCTGTTAAATTTAACTGTTTAATTGATTTGTGAAATTAAATTTTAAAAAATGTAATGTGTTGTAAGTGTGTTAATAATCATGATTAATTTCACATGTCAGAATAATAATCTCAGGAAACATACTTAAAGTGAGCTTGAGCTGCTTGATGTGAGAGCAATACTTTGTGACATAACGAGCATCTGACTTTGAACCCAACTTCTTTGCACAAAGTGATGAGACGATTCTTAACATACTGAGGGACAGGAACAGGAAGTGGTGTTCTTTGAGATTCTTTAACAAAAAAAAGGGAAAAATGAAAACATTTTAATTGTCATTTTAAACTATTACATTTGTATATATGATGCTTTTATACAACATTAAAACAGATCAAACCTTTCTTGGCAAAAGCCTCTGTGAAGTGATTTTTGGCAGACATATGTTGGAGGCACTCGTCTTTCAGATTGAACAGGAGGTAGCAGGTAGGACATGCGAAAGCCACAATCAGCTGATAGATCTGAGTGATGCTGTGAGCACCAGCAGTAGAAGAAGAAACCTAGAGTTGACGAGCCAAGAGACAAGGTCATGCTTAAGAAATATGTATTACTATTATGAGAATAAAGTTTCTACAAAATCCTAATATTGCCAAAGCAGGGGTTTTTGTATGTATGAACCTTGGACTCCAAATGTTTCTTCCATGCTTCCTTGGTCTGAAAATGTA